TGTGTGTGTGTGTGTGTGTGTCACCGATTCTTGTGGACAAATTTTCTCTTACACGTCTTGACGGATTTTGATAAAATTTTGTAGGTGTATTACGATCACGAATACCAAAAATCAGACAGAAGGATTTTCAAAAATATCTAAAAAAAAATTTTTTTCAACAATTTTTTAATTTTTGAAAAAATTAATTTTTGTATTTTTTGAAATAACTTTTTTCTATATTAAAATTTTTATTAATTCTTGGCAAAATTGCATACCTGACATAAAAACGAATCGATTCATGTATATAAAGTATATATTTTATTTAAATTTGTAGAATTAATAAATATTTTAATTTTTCACAAAAAATTGAAATTTTGTATTTTTTGAAATTTTATCTTAACACTTTAAAATAATTATTCTAAAATAAAAAATTAAACGATTGGTATATATTATATTGAGGAAGCTTAATAATCATGAAATGAACAACTTGTTTTGACTGTATTAAATTAATTTGTATAATAATATAATATGCACAATATATATTAAACAATATGTGAAGCCTTAATAATTAATAACAAATAATGATACCTAATAAAATATAGAATAATAATACAAAATCTAGTTAATTTTAAAAGACGTGTTTATATAACAGAAAAAGAGTAAAAACAAGTTGTTCATTTCATGACCATTAAGCTTCTTCAATATATATTATTATATATAATTTTAAAAGTTAAATAATTATAATAGTTTATTAAATATAATTAATAAATCTTCTTTTTAATAAATCAAAAAAAAAATTAATGTTATATAGTTTATCATAAATTTTACTAATTTTCAAAATTATCTTAATATTTAAAATAACAAAATTTAAAACACAAAATTTTTAAATTCTTATATTTATTTTAATTTTAAAATCAGATCCATTTTATCTATATTAAAATATATGTTATATTTGTTCTGGAAAATCACTAGAAGCTTCGTCTTTTAATATTTTCAAAAAATGTTTTCTCATCGATTTTACATTTAGCGAGTAACATATATTACATGGATTTTTATTTAAAATAATTGATGTAGCAAAAGTTGCTGCTTTATTATGTATTCTCATTTATTTTATAAAAACATTTATTAATTACAATAAATAAAAAAAAATTAAATCAAACAAGTATTAGTTACACTATATATGTAACGAAGGATATTATAGAAACCTATAAAAACATTATTTTGAATAAATAATTATTTATAAATTAATTTCTTCTGTTCATATCTGCTAATTAATTCTTTAAAAACAAATTTTTATAGTTTTTATATTCTGAATTTTAATTGAAAAGAATTGACCCCTAGATTAGGAATTGTGAGAACCAGCTGGAGTTAAAATATTTTTGAGTACACAAAAAGAGAATAAATAAATATTAATATATAAAAGGAATTAAAATAATGAATAAAAAATATTGAAAAATAAAAATTAATCCATAAGTGAATTACAAAAATTCTAAAGAGAAATTAAATTAAAAGAAATGTAAAATTTGGTAAATAAAAATCATTTGGAAATCGACTTCATAAACAAATTATGTTTATTTATTCTACTGATTCATAATTATTAATTTCTGAAAGGTATTTACTTTATAACTGTAGAGTTATTGTTATTATATTCAAAGACATGCACATAATAATGAATATGTATATTAGTTTACCGGAAGTCGATCCAGAATTATATAATTTTAGAAATAAATTATAAATGCAAATTAAAATATTCTCTCTGACTTTGCAAATAATTTTCTAAGATGTGTTCTCCTCATCGCAGAAATTTTCTGACAAGTGCAGATCTAAGCTAAATTAAAATTAAAATAAATGAATAAAAACAAAATATTTTATTAAATAAATTGATCATAAATAATTTATAAATTAATAGATTACAAATCATTTATATAGGAGAGATAGATTTAAGAAAATAATTTATAAATATATATATAGGTTAAAAGCAATTTATTAACAAGTCGGTTAAAAATAATTTATGAACAAATACATTAAAAATAATCTTTAAATAAATAGATTAAAACGAATCATAAACAAATAGATTTAACAAAATTTATAATAAAATAAATTGGAAATAATTTATAAACAAATGAATTACAAATAAATATATCTGAATGTCTTCGTTTGTCTTATTATTATTAAAACCACTCATACGTTAAGGTATTTGTCGCGTAAATTCGTTTTCGACAGAATTTTTTTAAATTTCACATAATTATTCTTTGGATATTTATCTACAAAATAAGGCCTATTAAAATAAAATTGACCGTCTGTAAATCTCAAAAAATGAAATCAAAGTTTCGATTTTTAACATGTACGGTATAGGAAAACCATATGAAAACCAACGATTTTTAATTTTTGCACTTATATTAATCGACAGATTTTTTAGAAAAACTAAAGTTTTATTTATTGAACCAAAATGAACTTTTATAAAAAAAATGAAAATTTTTCACCGTCTTGTTTAAAAGATATTTAACATCAAACTTGAAAAATTATTTTAACATTTACTGTAAATGACAGGTGAATTTGTAAACGTGGCAATAGCGCTTGTTAAATACTACAGCTTGTCTGCTACTTTTGGCGCGAAATTTTAAAGACGGCCATACGCCAAACTTGCGACGTTGCCACGATCGTTTTTCATGCGAGAGGTTATGAATATACTTTGAGAACATCTGTGTGTCAAACTGTACGTCGGCAGAAGTTTTTTGGAAACTCGCATTCATAATCGTTTCATAAGTACAGTCAACGGATACAAACTTTTGACAGTGACCAGTCGCGCGACAAATACCTTAAATACTTTATTATAAAAATATAAATGATTAATAAGTAGATTTAAGATTAGTAATTTATAAATAAATAGATTTGAAAAAATTTATAAATTAATGTAGATAAAAAAATGAATTATAAATAAATAATGTAAAATTGTTATAAAACAACACTTGAATATGCGTTAAGATCGTAAATGCATTTTTTCTACTATTTTCATTTCCTAATAAAAGCATTAAATAATAAATTTATTGCTCCGCATTTATCATTAAAATTGTGACAAATGAATTTATAGTTTTCACATACGCACATTTTACAACGTGGAAAATCCAGATTAATTGATCTATTAAAAAATTTTTACGACTTTCAGTATGAAAATAAATTTTCGGAATTTTGTCAATCAAAATGTTAATGGATCTTAAATGTTTAATTAATAAGAATAATTCCATTATTATTCATTTATTATTAATATAATAATAAAATATTATTATTATTAATTTAATAATGAAATAAACAATAAAGTAAATGATAAAAATAAGAAAAAGAGTACCTAACATAATTAATTAAATTAAGTCATTCATTCAAATAAATGATTTTTTAAAATTATTTAGTCTTATTACTTCCTCATAGAGGAAGTATTGTAATACCAAAATTTTTCGAGTTCGGTTTTTTAAAAATATCTTTAAGTTATTTGACCTCAGGAGTTCAAAAATGATATTTTTAAAAAATTTCATTCCGTATGTGTGTGTGTAAACATTACATTTTCATAAATATCTCAAGATTATGAAGAGCTTTTGGGTTAATTTTTTTTTTAATTTTAGGTCTCACGTGCGGACATAACATGAGAGTACTTTGAGATAGATTAATAAAATTTAACTATATTTTTTTGAATTTTGAATTTTTCAAAAAATCGTTTTTTACCCATAATTTAAAAAAAATGTTAAAACACCTATAAATGTTTTTCCATAATTTTGTAGAGTTTTTTTAGACGCATCTTTTGAGCCCTTTTTGAATATTTTTAGTCCATATTAACCGGAGATATTAAACTTTTAAAAATCTAAAATTTTGGAAAATAAGACTTTTGAAAATTTTGTTGAAAAATGTAAAAGTAACTTTGAAAGGTAGAACATTAAAAATCGCTTCGATTGACCTATTTTCGAACCTAATTCGATCATAAATTTCGAAACTATTGGAATTTTATAAAACAAAAATTGTGGAAAATGATATTTTCTCAACTTTTTGTTTAAAAACTTTTCTTTAACTATTAAACTATTATAACTATATTGTAGGGTATTCAAAAAAACATTGATTGGCCCAAGATTTAATCACTTTTACCATATTTATATTATAAAAAGTTATTCATATATTTCTATTATTATTATTATTATCTCTATGAGAAAACCAAAATTATAACAAAAATTACTATTTATTAGGTAAAATTTACTAATTCAAAAGGAAAAAGTTATATTTATTTTATTAATATTTTTTATTAATTATGCAAATTCTTGTATTCAACATATAATATTTATTTAATATAAAAAAATCGCTAGATGATTCAAATTTGTAACTAATTTTCCGAATTTAATAAATAATGAAATTGGTTTTTAAATTCAAATTTATGAAAACAGTATTTTCCACACTTATTAACTTAATTTTTGTGAAAGTTTTAATAAAAAAATATTTTAATATATTTTTACTCTATAACTATATTGATTAGTAAAAAAAAGTTTAAACTAATTTGAATTATAGTCACTGATTGTTTGTCATTAAATTAGTTCCGTTTTACTAATAGTGATAAAGTAAAAATTATTTGAAATATTCGAAATTTCAAAGAATTTCTATTAGTGACTGACCTTTTTTAATGCAAATTAATTAAATGCTTACTAATTAGTGATTACTGAATAATAAATTATTATTCATGATTTCGCGATTACTAAGTAACTAGTAATTACTAAGTAATTAGTGATTACTAAATAAATTAGTAATTATTAATAAGTTAGTGATTACTAATTAATTTTTAAGCTTGATCTAATTTATACAACATATGGTCAATCACTAACTAAAAATAATCACCTATTTAATATTCAATTATTAATTGTAATAATAGTAATAATAATAAAATATTTTGTAAGAAAAGTAACTAAATAAATATTCAGGTTATAAAAAAATAACACGGTTATAACAAAATGCATATAATAATAATAATAATAAAATTCATAACTCACAATTTTTCTCCTTCGGTGGCACAATTGTCAAAAATTAATAACAACAGTTGCAACAAAAATTTACTAGCACATTACACAATTTATATACACTTGTTTTTCTTGACACACTGTACATGTATGCAATTGATGGAAAACTTCACTTTTTCTTTTTTTTTTAATTAAATGCAAAAATAAAGTAATTTTGAAAAGTGACACTTTAGAAAAGGGGAGGTTAGAGGGGAGGAGGAGGGAAGCAATATGCATAAAATGGGGGGTTCCTCCGGGGCTGAGGGTTGGAGTATTAAATGAAACTCGAGTCAACGTTGAACCTTCATTTTATAAGAAAGTTTCAAGGATCAGACCTTCCTATATAAATTCACAAAGGAAGGGAGCACTGGTAATGTTCATTTACTTGATATTTTTCTGAATGGTGGGAGTCGACGTACTCGCGATCTTCGTCAATCAAGGTTATACAATCATAAAGGTATTCATTGTCAGATATCATCATCATTATCATTACAAAAATGGAAAATTTAATAACAAATTTTCTTAAATACACATTTAAAAAAAAAGATTTTTTCTTTCTTGAGAAAAACTTTAAATAAATTATTGATCAAATAGTGTAAAAAATATGTCTGTTTAAGTCTAATTTTCACTGGAAGAAATTATTTTCAGTTTTAAAGAAAGAAACAAAATTTTAAGTACGATAATGGTTCTAAAAAATCATGTTAAGGTGCGTAAGTGTTTGGTATTTGAAGACTTTATTTTTAAAACTTTTTTTTAAGACTTTATTTTTTTACTTTATTTTTTTTACATTATTATAGTTTTAAGATTTGAATGCAAATTTCTTGAGGTAAATTGTTTACATCTTTTTGGTCACTCGTTTTATAGAGGAAAAATAACGAAATTATGTTGAAAAAATATTTTATTATTAAAATAATTATTTTCAGAACGTTTATTATTTAGGTGTTAATGGCGTTTAGTAAATTTTAATAACTTATAATTAAACGTGTGTGAATTACGATGGTTAATGTTTTGAAATATTAAAATTGTTAATTATTATATAGAAGTGATTCTTATTTCCATTTTGTAGAAGTTGTAAATTATTTATGTTATATAGTATGTTGCTAAAGTTGATTATTTAAAAAAACAGTTTTTTTTCTATCGTTACGTGTTATTACTATATATTATACGCGATGTATTATATTAGAATAATTATAATATACTCTACTCTTTAAATTTAAAATAGTAAGAACTAAAAATGTTTACTAATTTTAATTAGTGACTGACTTTTTGCTATTAACCCCTTGCCTATATATGGTCACAAAAAGTCGTACCACCTTTGCGTCTGTGGCCATATATGGCCATCTCAAAAAAAATACTAACCATAATTTGATTTGAGTGGCGAAGTATATACTAAAGTTTTTAGGGTCGCTGAATCCGAATTTGAAGTCATATTTAAAAAATTCTAAATGTCGGACCCAAAATGGCGACTACAAAAATTAAAAAAAATTTCAGATTCGCTTCAAACTCGTTACTTAGGGATTTTCGGGGTCGCTGATTACGAATATGATGTCAGATTTTCAAAATTCAAAATGACGGATCCAATATGGTGACGCAATATGGCGAATAATTTCATGATTGATGCGATTCGATCGAAATTTGTTTCTCGGGCATTTTTGGGGTCGCTGAATTTGAATTTGATGTTCGTTTTTCAAAATTCAAAATGGCGGTTCCAATATGGCTAATAATTTCAAAATTATTGCGATTTGATCAATTTTAAAATTATCCGACATATTAGGTCGCCATATTGGATCCGCCATTTTGAATTTTAAAAAACTGACCTCAAGTTCGAATTCAGCGACTTTGAAAACTTTTGTCTATTTCCACAGTTATTTATTTACTAATAATTAGTAATTTTCTACTAATAATTCGTTATTTTTTAATAACTGATGAAGCAAAATGTCAGCCACAATTTTACTAATAATTATGTGTTTTTAACTAATTCAGATTTAGAGAGAATAATTATTATATAAACAACTAATTATTATAAGGTATACTAATAATTGTTATTATACACCAATTGAGGCCTTGGATCCAATAACTCGCCCGACGCTCGAAGGCACGCGCTAATACCAGTCGGGTAACAGTGAGTGGCCCAGAGGCGCTCACTGCTCACTGACTGGCAGTTACGCGTTCCTCCGAGCGTCGGGCGAGTTATTGGATCCAAGGCCTCAATTACTATAATGGATACTAATAATTATTATTATACACTAATTACTGGGTATATAAACTAATTATAATTTATTTGTTTATACACCCGTCTTAAGCCTACAATCTTGGCTATACAAGTGTTTCTCTACAATTTTCTCTTACACATTTTTTTATACAATATAACCTTATACTAAATTTTGCGCCTACAGAGCGACTTGAAAATTAGGAGTACTCGCATTTGCCTGGACCACCCGTTTAATCGGTTTTCTCGCCAGTGGAGAGGGAAACTGTAGAAAACCTCTCCTGAGTACAACCGGTTTATTGACAGTAGAGTTCTAATGGTGTGTACTGGACAATAATCGACGGTGCACATCATTATACCTCGACGTCAAACCTCCCGCTCAGATTGTCTCACGTGCCGGAAAAATACCGAGCCAAATGGGCGCGAACCAAGGGTACTATACCCTTGGTCCTTAAACGACCGTCAAGCGAGGCATCTATCCGACTGAGCTAATCTGTCGGTATAAACTAATTAATATATATTATACTAATTTTGTTTTTGTAAACAACTTTCTGAATTAGTAAAAACATTTACTAATTTGAATTAGTCACTGACTTTTTGCTTTTGAATTAGCAAATTTAACTAATAAATAAGTAGAAATTACTATTTTTATTAGTAAAATTTACTTATTTAAAATTAAAAAGTAAATTAGTTAAAATATTTACTAATTTGAATTAGTAACTGACTTTTTGCTTTTGATTTAGAAAATTTTCCTATTGAATAATAATTTCTACCAATTTATTAGTAAAATTTACTAATTTAAAAATAAAAATTAAATTAGTAAAAACATTTAATAATTTGAATTAGTGACTGACTTTTTGCTTTTGAATTATTAAATTTAACTAATAAATTAGTAGAAATTACCACACGGAAAAAAATTAATCTCTAAACTTGAAATAATATTAATTTCAAATCCAATGAAATATAAGTGTATCTAAATTAAACATTATAGTCACAATTACTGTGATAAGTTGTGTTTGATTCTGTCAAACTTTATACCAGAAAACGCCATAAATTCATATCTCTGATTTAGAGATTTGTCAATTTCACAACTTTTTTATGTGAATTACATTGTGTTTTAAGTTAATCAGTGACAAAAGAGATTTAAACCATTTTAATTAATTAAGTAGGGGAGAGTAGGGCAAAGGCGCTAGGTTTACATTTATCGATGTATATTTTTTAAATTAATCAATTAATTTATGCGGTCTTTGTTTTTTATTATTCTAAAACTAATCAACAAGAAATTTTAAAAGTTGTTATTTAGTATATTATAATTATAAATACATTATTTAATGAAATTTAAAAACAATGCAAAAAATGCCTTTGCCCCACACGCTGGGGCAGCGACGTTTTCGCTTATATTTCTAAAAGAAAGCATTTATAAGCCTTAAAAAAATTAACAAGTGATATTTATTAGTATAATATTAACGAAACATAAGGTTAACAACATATTATTAAAAGAATTAAACTATTTAAATAAAAAATAAAAACTTTTAGTGATTTTAACCTTATATTGTGAAAGTTTGTTTTGATGTTTTGTCCCATATAATAAATTTAATAATAGTTTGAAATTGGCATTTGTATAGGACATAAAATGTATATACAACATTTACGTTTCGAAACCGGTACCGGTCTCCTCATCAGAATATATTTAAAAATCATAAAATATGCCATAATTTAAATTCGGGTATGGATGTGAATAAATCCAAATGCAAAAGAGTAACCTTATTGTTGTTTTATATATTGGTCATAACTATAACCAGATGTTTTTTGGTTAATTTAAAAAATTGCTTATATTTTTGCAAATATTTTTGCAATAATGACCAGCATGGCAACATTTTTGCATCGGATCACAATACATACATATGTATGTACATATGTATGTGAATTAATACATAGAAAATTCGAATATTCAATTGTTTTTAACCAAATTATGTTCAATATTGCCTTTGCCCCACATAAGAAACATTTTTTTTACTTTAAATTTAAAATATTTATATACAAAATTAAACTAAAACACCACGCCAAATGTGTAGAGAAATATTTAATTTATTTACATGTTACGTTTTTAAAAATTAAGTACTTAAACTTATGTTTTAAAAAATGAAAGTTTGTTCAGTAAAATTATCATTTTATTTTTGGGGCATTCTTTCTCAACTTTACCACCATGCTGCCCATCTTCAGTTTGAACGAAAATCATTGAAATACCACTTAAAATTTTCAGAAAAATGTCAACTTTTGAATGGTGAGTGGCAAAATTGTCCATTTTAAACGGTTCACTCTGAATCTGTCAATAAACGGAAAAAAGTCAAAAAATAATTTGTTATTTAACTATAATGTTTGTTTAATTGGCCATAATATTTTTTTATAATCACTTTAAAGTCCCCTCTTCATGTCTACATTGTCATATGAGGCTAAATTAAATTTGAGGTTATAATATGGCCGTCAAAAGTGACTTAAATTAACTAATTGCGATGTTTTTTCTGTGCAGCATTATTTCCAATAGCAAATAAACTTTCAAGGGTTTCTGGTCTTACCCATTACGTATATAACGCTATATGTTCAAAATTCAAAATGGCGGATGCAATATGGCGGACATGGATTTTGAAAAATAATTGTATTTGGTTGAAATTTATTAATCGGGGGTTTTCGAGATCGCTGATTACGATCCTGAAGTTTGTTTTCAAAAATTCAAAATGGCGGATCCAATATGGCGGACGATAAATTTAAAATTCATTAGATTCGTCTAAAAATTGTTACTCGAGGGTTTTTGGGGTCGCTTATTACGAATCCGATGTCAGTTTTCAAAAATTCAAAATGGCGGATCCAATATGGAGGACATGAATTGAAAAAAATAATTGTATTTGCTTGGATTTTGTTACTCGGGGGTTTTTGAGGTCGCTGATTAGGATCCTGGAGTTTGTTTTCAAAAATTCAAAATGGTGGATCTAATACGGCGGACATAAATTTTTAAAAACGGTTTGAATTGCTTGGAATTTAATTTACGGGGATTTTTCAAGTGGCTGATTACGAATATAGTG